ATTACGGCCACAATAAGGTGACAGTTCTAAATTTTGCTACAACATACAATGGTTCTAAGCAGGCCATTGGGTTCATTTCATAAATGGAAATACAGGAACTTCAATTAACATATTCTTGATGTGATAGACTTTAGCAGGGTTTTTTTTGGAAAGAAGCCAGAGTCTATAGTGTCAGTGGGACTTTGTTTACTTAAATCACAGTAATCATAACAAAGCAGTCTATCACGCAGGCTGCCTACATCTGAAATGTTATTTAGAAACATTAGCACAGGACACTGAAGATATGTTTACAGTCTCTTCTATTAGACTTCCACACCTAATATTGCAAATCATTGAGCAGCAATCACAGAACTGCCAGTACTAATTAATATTTTTCGGTAAACATTTTCAATGCAAGAACCTAAGCACAGATACACACATGGATATATAAACACCTCAGCAAACAGTTTCATTTTCAGAGGTTCTGACATTGCTGACATTAGAGGGGAAAAAGCGAGTTCAGTGTAGCTGACAGGAAATAATGAACCTGCTTTTCAAGTTTTAGATGTGAAGATGGCAGTGCTTAGAGTGAGTGTGAAGTGCCAGCATTCAGAAACAAAACCAGAGAACATGGACTGGTATACACCACTGTGGGTTTCCTTAGGGACATCAGCATTCTCCCCCCTCCCCCCCCCGCTATTATCTCCCATCAGTACAGAGCTTTTGTTCTACTTTTCCAGCCATCAGCCTAGTCAGAGCCCTGGCAGTTGCCTCTACAGATCTGCCAGACATCCAGCAAAAGCTGCAGCACAGCAGGAATGTATCGGACTTATTGGTCCCATACTAGTTAGCAACACAGCTCTGGGACAATTCCCCAAATCACTAGCATGTGCTATTCATGGCACATGTATTACATTGCACTGTCTGAACTTCTCAGATAGAAAACAGCATTTTCAAACATCTATCCCAGCAGGACACAATGCAATACAAGTTGCACAGCCTGTGCTATAGCTGTTCCCCTGAAGAAGGAATTACTAGCTATAATGCCCATCTCTTCATGAGAAAATGTATTTGTTATACCAGATCTTTACAGTTGCTAGTTTGTTTCAAACTGTTCAGAAAACAAGTACGCAATTCATAGCTTTCATTTAGTGACAAATGCTTCTCAGTGTGGAAGCTTTTAGGTCACAGTGGTGAAAAACAGTCATACTTTTTCATTTGCATTTTTGCTTTTCCATTGACTACGGCAGTTACCAGAGCTTATGATAAAGCACACTGTCGTAACATGGGATAAGGATAGAGCTGGATGACGAGACTCCCAAGTACTTTTATGCTGCTACACACCTGTGGGTCTAACAAAACCTGGGACAGTCCTCACATGACTAAAACCTCCTCTAAGCCCAGCCAGGCAGATTAGTTTCTCAGGGACTGTCCTGCTCAGCCACACTGTTACGTCCTGTAGTGGCCCAAGCCAGCTCTACCTACGCATACCTCGCACGTATGTAGAGCAGTAAACAACAGGTTTTTTACACAACCCATACTTCTCGGAAAGGATTCTCACCTGTCTCTCTTGGTTGGTTAAATGACCAACCTGAACAATGCAGAGCTCTTCATAAAGAGATCAAAGAATCAGATGGAATTGTTATTCTGTGATTAATAATACAAAATAATATTTTATGGCCTATGAACTAGCAAATAGAAAAACACTCAAAATACCCTTTACAACAAAAAATAAGCTTCTTAATTTTCCTACCCATTCTCTGATAAAAGACAGAAGACTCCAGTCCCTACTGGCAAGAACATTAAGTTCAATAAAACCTGCGTAGCTGATAACATAATGGTGGTATTAGGGACATGATCTAGGTCTGGCCTTGTAACTGAAGCTGAAAATTACAGAATAGCTGGTTTAGAGTATGGTAAAGCATAAGGTATTTTATACCTCCATCTTTAGCACTTGAGCCCAAGTATCACCTAGAATCGAACCTCATATTCACTGGGAGTGGTGATACTCATAAACAGCACTTACAAAGAGCCCAAAAGAGAACAGGTTTGTTCCTTTCAAATAATTTCAAAGATTATCACACAGAAAACTATTGTGTGCTAATTTGGACACTTTTCTCCATAAATAAGCAATATAAAAAGCCTTAACATTTTCATCTCAGGGTAGACACATGATATTTCCAGAAACCAAAAATTAACTCAAATCTTGAAGACCGTGAATGACATTAACAAAGCCATTATTGCATTATACAAAGTCTTTTGCAGCAGTAGAGGTTTAAGATATCCACCTACCCTGGGTCGTTCAATTCAGCTCACGCATCACCTCTTCCTGTCTCCATTCTGTCTGCTGCTTGATTGCAGAAGCACAACTGCTTGTGGAGCTGTTCTGTGAAACAGATTAAAACAGTGATCTGACTTTCTCTTTCTGCAGAGTCTATTTAAGTCAGTTTGGTTCCCTGACCTATTTTGCAGAGCAGTACCACCTGTATTTGTGTCAACACAACATCCTAAGGCTGTAGCTTTGTAAAAACTCAGACCTAGTACTATCATTGAGCACTGCACTTCTCCAAACCCTTGTGCATTACCCCATCATGTGCTGGTGGAAACATTTGTACAGCTACAAAGAAAACTGTATTTGGGTTAAAACCTCGTTTTCCACTTGTTTAGTTTTAATCCGTATCAGGACCCCAGCCTGCATCTCAACATAGCACCACCAGCACTTTCACTACCTGCTGGGAGAAGGGAGTATAGGGTCTGTAAAAAAACCAAGACTGAAACTACTTCCCCAGTGGTAGGATGATGTCTTTATGCAGGTGAAAGGATATCTGAAACTCAGGATACTAATCTGCAACTCTCAACTTACATACAGGTTCTGAATTCTTGAAGAACAACCGTGAGTTCTTGAAGAATGGCCACTTGATCAACAGCAGCACAGCTGAATAATTGGTTAATTCCTAATTGTAATAATTAGGAATTCTACATTTATGGCAATATCCAGATTAGAATTGACCCATCTTAGAATATCTGAATGTTGCTTGGAAGCACCAAGTATTTAGACTTGATTTTATTTAAACATGCATCTGGAGTGATGTAGTATCTACTTCAACATTTGTCACGTGAAGACAAATGCTGCTGTATGTAGCTACAGGATCCAGACTTTGAGCAAATGACTTCTGAATCTCAATGAACCTGTATCCTTCAGTATAGTTATTAACTCATTAAAACAATATTTCACTTTTCTCATAGTGCAAGTGCAATTCTAATGTTTACCTGTGCTCATAAGAATGTCATAAGTTCTAAAACTAACTCCTCGTTTACTGTGTTTCCCCATGTGAAAAATAATTCAGTTAAATACAAAAATAGAAAGACTAAACATTCTAAAGTCCTATTTTCCCCATGTTAGTATAAGAAGTTTCATTCTCTCTTGACAAATGCTACTGCAGTTTAAATCCTGACACATAGTAAACTATGAATTTGATTGTTTTCATTAACAAGTTACTTTTTTTTTTTTTTCACAGAAAGCATCAGGGCTGTAATAAGAGGGCTCCTGAGATAAATGTGACTAAGCAGCAGGAGTTAATTAAGTAGGACAATGAGTAAGCATTTATGGGTGTGATAGGATACCCAGCTGATTTAATTGCTAGTCTAATTATCAATTAGAGAATCAAGAAATGACTTGTAAGTGAAATATTCTATTTGTTGATAGTTTAATGATTTTTAGAGACCCAGAAGAGCAGTATTAATTGCCATTTTAGGACTACAGAAGGAGGGTTTTTTTCTCCTCCTAGTCAAATAGAGGTTCTTAGTACTAAAACGACTAATAAATGTATATACAGTCTTCTCATACTCAAATATTTAAGGCCTTCAGATCCTTTGCTCTATAAAAAACCCAAATAAAAAGCTAGCAATTAAGCATTCAAACACACTACCTATAAACCACTCAGCTTAGGTCAAAACCTTTCTGCATTTATTTTATAAAAGATAATAACTATCCAATGGTGTGAAAAGTCACATTAACCATTTACAGTGTGTTTGCACAAGCCAGTTTCCAGACGAAAAGAAAGGGGTCAGGGAACTATTTAAACCCATACGGGCAAAGAGCCAGTTGGCTACATTCATTGTTGAAATGTTTTACAAAGCAACTGCAAGAAAATAAAATTACCAAAAAATTGATGGAGAGCCAAAAATATTAATATATTGGAACACAGTGAACTTTTTACAAGCTGTAAATATTTTTTGGGTTCTCACATATAACCTATAAAGTATGTTGAGGTCTTTCTCAGAACTTCTAATACTAGCATGTAGTTTGTAAAGAACAATATCCACCAGAAAAAGAGATCAGAAAGACACTGTATGTCATGAAACCAACGTTATTTCCCACTGCAATTACCAAAAGATAATTTTGGTGCGTATCAAGAGGACCTAGGAACTGGTGATGGCAGGTTATAAAAACTAGGAAACAGAAGCAAACACCCATCACAGAAGTCTGAGCTTTGGACACATTAACAAGCTGACTCTGACCAGTATAAAAGAACAGCATCATTCAACCATTTTTCACGTCCATTACAAATGACTGGGAATACTGCAGGTTAGTGGCTGTTGAACAACTCCCTTGCCCAGGTTTAAAACAAACTGTTAGCAACTCAGTCCTCAGAAGGGTGCCCAACTATTTTGTTTTCTGCCAAGAGGAACCTGGCTAATCTATAAGGTACCAAGTTTAGACAAGACCTCTTCCTCTGAAATATGGGCTAACTCCTCCAGCAAGGCAACAGCTTTTCATCATCCCAACATGTTTTCCTACTGAATAACTTTTAATTTTAAAGCACAAACACTCCAAAGACACCCCCCCCAAAAAAAAAAAAAAAAACCACTACTGACAACATCAAGTGCGCTTCCCCGGCTTTCCTTAGGGACCTAAACGAAAGGCAGCGCGGCCCTTCTCAGCCTTTCACCTCAGACACGGCGGCCT